TATGGGCAATGTACGGGCTGTATATACCAGGTTATCGAGGATTCGAGAGTGGTGCTTTTGAAGTCCAATCGATTATGATTTGTTGTTCAGGCTGAATCAGCATCAAAAAGGGAAACTTTGTATAAAGTCCCGTTTCTTTGCTTCCCCGTTCACTAAAATTTGAATCAAAAACTGATCTTGCCTTCTGTCTCAAACCCATCGATCTTTGAATGACAACATCCGCAACAAAAAAGAGAAGCTTCCAAAATCAAATTGAAATATGACTCAAAAATTTGATGGGACTGTTCTTTGAATATTGATCCTGTCTTTGATTGCTCGTACTGTTTGAAATGATTGCTGAATGGTCTTGTTAATGTTGATTAGGTGCCTTCAAACTAGGGAAAAGTTGAAAAGTTGAAAAGAAAAATTGGGAACCGTGTAATTACAATACAAGCGATATAACGCTGTAGTGAAATCATTGTTTTTCATTACACACCTTTTTGCTGCTTCAAAACTATGAAGCCCTACACTACAGATCAAAAGATTTGTAATCGTGACATGTTTTCCATCACCTGTTTCCAGCATGTTGTCCTCATATGTCGAAAACATCCCCAGTAAAAATGTAACGTAAACATATGTGATTATGTTTCAGATATGTACGTTGTACATCAGGGAATCATCGTGGAAATTTTTTTCTTGCATTATAAAACCTTGACTGAACATACACTCAGTTCAAAAAGGAGTCGATCCGATGGGGTTATTTTTTGAAAAATTGGTTACTGCACCCGCCTGCACGTTGGGGAACTGGGCTCGTCATGAGTTTGGGCTCAAGAACTCATCAAGGTGAGATGGTGATGAGGATGCATTACATCTTTGCATGCAAGGGAAGTTAGTGTACATACAACTTGTGGAGATCACAAACAAGACAAGAAATGAACCACAGCTTTTTATGAATCGGTGTATAGAAAGGAGGCAGACTGAAAGGGTATCAATGAATGGAAGCTTGATTTGCTAGCAATTGTGACGCGATTGATTGATTGATCCAATTCTAGGTGACTAAAAAATCAAAAGTTGAAGTGATACTTAGAACTTCTATGTATGAGGTCGAGCTGAAGCAGGAGACAAGGCTTATTGACCAAAAGCAAACCAAACGCTGGAAACGAGAGCGATGGAAATGATTGAGCGAGATGGGAAATGTGAAATGGGGGACATGTCAGCATCCAATATTTCATGACTTCATCGACTTAACACAGGTCTGAATATGTGGAGAATGGTGATGAAGAGAAAGAGAGGTCATACCTGAAGTCGTATAGAAAGAAAAAGGAGTCAAAGAGTGAACAGATGTGAAAAGCAAGCTATGACTTTGCTGAGAGGTTAGTGATGCGAATTCAGCAAAGGTTTTCATGACTAGGTTTTTCAAAGTCAAGCCTCAGGTCTTGGTGCAGGCTTTTCAATCCGTTGGGGCAGTTTATGTTCTGGTGAGGTATTGAGATACCTCGAGAATATATGTTTTCAAATTATGATAAGAAATACATCAGCCTTACATATTTTCTACAAAAACACAAAATCCACATCACGATTACAAAACAGCTGTGTCACTGCTAAGTAAGTCCCATGTTTCTCAAATGTCATTACTGGGGGTGTTTTGAACACATATTTGCCCTTAAAGTTTGGACCGTAGTGTATGAGGGAGGCCCCCTCCAAATACAAAGTCTAACTTTGTGATTGCACTACAGCATTGTATTGCTTGTATTGTAATTACACGGTTCCCAATTTTTCTTTTCAACTTTTCAACTTTTCCCTAGTTTGAAGGCACCTATTGAGTGTGAACAACAAATGAAATGATTCGATCTCAAAAGCGATAACATGTTACAGCTCGCACATGACTTGTGTCACGGGTGATTAGGCATGACACTACCTGTGAAAGGCAGGGGGGTGGTGGGGATACCGGGATCCTTTTTAAATACATGTTTCAAGATTGATGGAAAAACAGTCATAGTTTACTTGTTATGGTTATGGATATGTATGATGGGCCAGGGTTCATGAATTATGTGATACAGAGATTTGATTGATTTCATGGTTTCTCATATGTAAATGGTCCTTTCCATGGAAAAATGGTGATCACATGAAGGAGTACATAATTCTACATGGATTAAATGATTCAAGAAATTGTTATTTGTTGTATGACTGTATAGACAAAGCTTGGATCAAACACAAAGAAAGACCAGCTGTTTTTCTTGAAAGTACACCAAAATTCAAATTTCCAGACCAC